CCAGAGTGTTTGATATCCTTCTTAGAAAATATATTTCTTTCTTATAAAACCTTATATTTTACTCTCTCCCATTTCCAATTTGAAAAGTAGCAGTTATCTATTATAAAGAATATTAGTTCTAAATTTTACAAACTGTCAGGGAACAGTTTGCTATGGTCCAAGCCCACCACATTCACAGTTACCCCCTTACCCACAGTCTGCCACACTGTGTGCCTGTGGCTCTGTTCCCAGTTGGCTGGCTGGACCAGGGGGACACCTGTCTCAATGGCAGCCAAACCATGGGCTTGGCTCCCATGGAGCATTATCTGGCTGCTCTGTGATTTACTGAGCCAATGAGATCCTGTGTCTTGGGGACCTTCAATAGGAGACCTTTGAGAATGCTAAGTGGGTAGGGGACACAATGACCTGAGGACATGCAGGGAGGAGGAGGTAGCAGAACCCACACAGAAGCAGAAGCCACAGAGGGGAATTAGTGGAGTAGAAAGAGTTTAGCCATTTGTACCAGCAGGAGAGAGAGATGGAGAAAAACAGACAGAGACAGGACTTGGGCAACATCAGATGCGTGGCTTCATGAAAGAAGGGACCAAGTTTGTATCATTTGTGACCATATGCCTGGAGATGGACAGCATCTGGCAGGTGGAAATCACCCAATAGGAATTTGTGGACTGACAGGATGAGAGAGCCCTGAGCAGTGAGCGGTGGGTGGAGGCCTCTGAGGGGGCCTCTGCCGCAGTCTGGCTGGGCACAAATGCCGCAGTCTGGCTGGGCACACAATCACGAGCCACCACACAGCTTGTAGATTCAAACAGCAACTCTTTATTCCCGAACTCACACCAGCTGTTCACAATCACTTTCTGGGGAAATCCACGTTCTCTGCCCAAATCCACGTTCTCTGCCCAAATTCCTCCACTGGGCTTCTATCTCCCAAAAAATACTGTCTGAATCCCGTGAGAACTCAAGGGGAACTCAGGCAGCAGGATACGCCCTATTCCCAGCAGGAATAATCTTAAACCTTAAACCTGGAACCTAAACTGGGAATGCCCTAAACCCGATTATCTTAAACCGGGAACACCCTAATCCGCCTTGGTCCTTGAGCAAGGTCACCTACATTCAATGTCACTGCAACATGGGGTACGCTGGCAAGGAAATTGTCATACCTACTTGGCTAATGGCTCCCAGCAGGCCTCCGTGTCTATTTGTCCATGAGACCCTCCATTCCAGTCTCCTATGCAGACTAGATTCCTGCCTTCCTTATTGCCTCATAACTCAAGAGAGTGCAGCTGAGAAACGAACAAGAAAGAACAAAATTAAAATCCTCCACTTGTCAGACATGATCATGGATCATGTTCATCTTGAACACATCATTCTATGCTCCACATTTCTTTTTCATTCTTTTTTTAACACTAAATGAGTGAAATATTTCCATGGCATAAGTAACTTTTAAAACATGAGTTCAGTGGCCACATTTAGCCACTCCATTATATGGGACAGCAAAGTCAAGTAATATGGGAAACACTTAGGTTATTTCTGAAAGCCTACTCCTTAAACAATGCTCTGCAGCCCACAAAGAAGATCTGTGTGTCAACATTTACAGCAGTTTTATTTTTGATTGCTACACCCTAGAAACATCCCAAATGTCCATCAGTGGGAAAATGGATAAACAACCCAATGTCCCATACAATGGAACGCTACTCAGCACTAAAAAGAAGTGAGCCACAGACACGTGCAGCCCCATGGGTACATCTCCAACATGTGCTAAATGGGAGCAGCTAGATACAAAATCCTGCACACTGGAATTCCACTCATATGTCATTCATCAAAGGGATGAATGACAGTCTAGAAGGTGAATCAGTGGTTGCCAGGAGGATGGTAGAGGGGATTGACAACAAAAGTAGGGCCAGGTGAAATTCTGAACTGATGGAAAAGTTGTTTATCACGGTGGTCGGTCCATGATGGTGGACATTTGGCAAAACTCACCCAGTTCTATACCTCAAAAGGATTGATCATGTTGTATGTAAATTTTATCTCTAAGAAATCTGACCCCAGAAAGTAACAATGGCATGCAGAGGGTCCCTTTTACAGATTTCTTTTTGAGAATCTATGAGTATAGCCATTGGATCAATTTCCAGAAGTAGAACTGCTGGGTCAGCTGGGCATGGTGACGTATGCCTGGAGTCGCTGCTACTCAGGAGTTCAAGATCAGCCTCCAGCAATAAAGGAATCACTGGATCGAAGTGTATGGACATTTTAAAACACACATGTATTTCTATTGTCTTTTTCCTTTCCTTTTTTCCCCCCATATTACTAGGGATTGAACCTAGGGCCACTCAACCACAGGGTTACACCCCCAGCTCTTTCTTATTTTTATTTTAGTACAGAGTCTTACTAAGCCACAAAATCTGTTCTCTGACTTGCATTCCTACTACCTCAGCCTCTTGAACATGTATTTTATTACAAGGCCTGTCTTAAGGGGTACAGTACCTAAAAGGGATGACTACAAGATTTTCAGGAATCCTGGCTCATGGGAGATAGCACAGATGAGTAAAACACAGAAGTAAGGGTGGGGACAGTATTGTTGCTACCTCTTCATCCCACCACGACCATAACCATCCCACCGTGACCATAATTGTCCCACCACGACCATCACCCTCTGCTCTCTCTCATCTAAGGGATCATCATGTTCCACTGACTCCCATTGCTTTCTCCCTAAAGTCAGAACCCAGCTCTGCCCAGAACTGTCCGGGTGAACTTCTCACAGTCATAGAAACTGTTCTATTTCTGTGACTCATGCATTAGCCACAGATAACTGTTGAGTACGAAATGTGACTGGTGAAAATGAGAAACTAAATTTTAAATTTTTCTTTAAGTTTTGTTCATTAAATATTAAATTTAAATAGTCACATGGACTAGTAGCTACCAGCCAGGCACCATGAGAGGCTGAGGCAGAAGGATCACAAGTTCAAGGCCAGCCTCAGCACTTTAGAAGGCCCTAAGCAACTTAGTGAAACCCTGTCTCTAAATAAAAAATAAAAAGGATTGGTGATGTGCCTCAGTAGCTAAGAACCTTTGGGTTCAATCCCCAGTACAAAAATAAAAGTCTAGTGATTACTTTGAAGAAATCTGGCCTCCCACTTCAGGAAGAATGGAAGGATCTATAAATAACTTGGCAATCAGCCCAACTTCAGGACCCACTCTGACTGTACCCCAGTTTCAATCCTCTGGGAACTGGAATTCTGAAAGGTTCTTTTGCAGGTTTGATGCCAGTACCTACTGTGCTCTACTCACCTGGTATTCACCTCTGGCTTCCTTCCTATCTGGGCTTCCATGTTTGTTGCTAGAACTTGCCTCTATGGAAGCCTGGATGGTTCACAATCAGTGTTATAAGGAGATTTTTTTTTTTTAGATGTGATCTTATTATGTTGCCCAGGTTGGTCTTGAACTTGTGGTCTCAAGCAATCCTCATGCCTCATACTTCCAAGTATCTGAGATTATAGGTGCGTGCCACTGTGCCCAGCTCCTTCACCATTTTTACTTTATTTTGAGACAGGGTCTTACTAAGTTGTCCAGACTGGCCTTGAACTCTAGATCCTCCTGCCTTAGCCTCCTGGGTAGCTCGAATTACAGGCATGCAATTACGCCACATCTGGCTGCAGGAAGAATTAAACCTTATCTTTGAAAACTGTCCTATCCCTTGAGATGTCCTCCAAATTTCAGATGCCACCTATAACCAGGGATGTTGGAGGGCTGAGTGGAGAGTGGGGAGACAAGAGCTGCAGACACATCCCTCTCTTAATTGTCCCAGCAGCCAGCCTTTATACAGCGCTAGGGATAAGCGAAGGGAAGTACAGGCAGATGAAGTGGGCGGGGGTAGTGCTCAACAGGTATCCATCATTCATCATCAGCCCCATGCTCCCAGCTTGCCTTCATTTTAACTGAGGTCATTGCCCAGTGACTGGAGGCACAGAATTCTGAAGAGAGAAATGAGAAAGTGGCAGATGGAGGCTCCCCTTCCTGCCTATCTGAGGTTCCACCTTCCAGGACTGAGTTTTCTGGGAGAGGGTTTGGGTTTTCCCTAAATATCAACACTGGAAAAATTTATCTTCTTCAAGGGAGACCAGCCTTCAGTCACACTGTGGTGACCTCACCTCACAGCCAGGGCAGGACAAGGCATCACACACAACCCTAGAAATATTGGGTCACTCATGGGTGGGTGGGTATGAACAGGAACTGTCCTCTCACACAGCCTCAGTCTCCTGCCCTGTCCCTTGGACCTCAGCATCTCTGGCTCAGTTCTTCCATCTTCAACTGCCGTGACTGATACTGAGAATTTGGACAGGAGTCCTCTTATTCTTCTGCATCAAGTAAATTTAAGTTTTCCAATGGGCAAAGCATCACTGGGGCAGGAAAAGGAATAAGGCACGTGCTCTACCTGAGCATTCTGCAGAGCTGACAAGACACTGTCAGCAATCCTAGAGACAACACACTTCATTGCTAATGTGGCCAAAAAAGGTGACTGACGGATGCGTTTGGAGCATGGAAGGTCAGGAGAAGACACATGGTGAAGGTAGATCCCAAAGATATTTGGGGTAACACATTCATTCCCCCACTGACCAGCATGCAGTCCCTGACCTCGGGACATCACACTGGAGTCCAGCTGTGTCTCTCATGTTGCACAGAGAGAGATTCTGTAACAAGGGAAAAAGGGGTTGTTTGAACAACCTAGTGATCCATTAAAGGAGGTTTCTAAATTATGATCACAAAAGCATGTTGTGAGTCTGTCATCTTTTAAAACCTTATCTCTCAGTGGCCCAGAACTTACTATCAGATCTTTGAAGATAAGCTATTAGCCAAATGTGATGATTCTCATTGCCATCTGAAGATGTTTCATATTCAAATTTTATTTTTTAAACCAATGAAATATAACATCTTCAATTTAGCTACACAATACGTAATAAAAATTGATCAGTGAATGGACGACTCTGACTGAGTTTATCTTCCAGTTACAGGAGACCCATCATGTTCATGTGCCGTGGACCACAGTTAGGGAAACTACGAGCTGGAAATGCCTTGGATGCTGTTTGGTCTTCTTCCAGTGACTCAGAGAATTTGTGGCATCCTTGCAGTGCTTCAGTGACATCACTTCAGCTACAGTCCCCAGGATTTCTAAGATGCCCACAACCATGCTGATTCTGCTCTGATGGCGCTTTTTTTCCATTTATCCCTGTTCCATGGAGATGGAGCATACATCATGCACAATATTTCATTCCCAAAGTTGAAAACTCTGGATTTTAGTTGAATAGAAATTGAAGAAGTTAGGAAAAGGACATTCTACCAGCCATAGGAAGCAGATGGTTAGGAACACTCATTGCAATCTGTTGCACCTTGCAAAGAGGTGTAAAGATCTGGTGGGCAGCTCCAGCTTTTAAATAACTCACACAGCCTTTCAAAGGCCTGAGGGAATTAACTGCTCTAACCCATCACAAGAGCTTTGACTATTTCCCAGCCTCCAGTCACTCTCAAATCTCTTTCAAAGTCTGACTGAGCACCGCCTCTGCATTTGCACAGCAATCTGGACACCCCATCTGTATTTTCCACAAGTACCTCCAGCTCACATCTCTCCTCATGGGCCTCCAAGTTCCCTTTGGAGCACCTGTGGCACTCTCCAAGTTGGAGAACTTGGACTCATCCCTCCTCCTCACTCCCTTTGATCCCCAGCCAACTGATCTCCAAAGCCTGTAGACACTGGGTCAGGAATGCCATTCAGGTGCCCCACCTTCTCTACTGGAGGCTTTCACACCCCCCCCACCCCCACTGCAACAATCCACCCATCAGTCTCCCTGTCCTCGGGTCTCCACCTCTTCCACCCTTCAGTCTGCCTGGGGGTCACCTTCTTCAAACCAGTCAATTTAGAGGTTTCCAAATGATCCAATTCAAATTGTCCAGCTGGGCAAACAAAACCCTTCAGTGACTGACCTCACGCTAACTTTGCAGTCTCTTTCCCCACCACCTGTATACTCCCAACTCTCCAACCACATGGAGCTGCCCCTCAGCCCCTGCCATGTGCAGGCTTCACACTCTGTGCCTTTGTATACACTGTTCCTTCTGCCTAGCATGCCTGTCCCCCATCTGTCAGGGCCTGCCTGTGAAGTTTCCCCAACTTCCTCCAACAGCCACACCTCTAAAGCCTTTGTATGATTTTTTATTTCTGCACAAATACACATTTGTGTCCCCCCAGCATTAGACCCTGAGCTCCTTTAGGATAGAAAAATCCATGCCAAGGTGAGGCACAGTGGTACACACCTGTAATCCCAGTAGCTTGGGAAGCTAACACAGGAGTTCAAAGCCAGCCTCAGCAACTTAGTGAGGCCCTAAGCAACTCAGCAAGACCCTGTCTCTAAATATATATATATATATATATATATATATATATACATATACATATATATATATATATACATATATACACACACACACACACACACACACACACACACACATATATATATATATATATATATATATATATATATATATATATATGGCTGGGGATGTGGCTCATAGTTAAGCTTCCTTGGGTTCAATCCCTTGTACCAAAAAAGAAAAAAGAAAACCTGTGCCCCTGTGCCAAGGGCATGCCACCTAGTACAGAATAAAAGCTTTCCATTCAATACTGGATTCAATTATATCAGTTCTCATCAAGGCAAATTTGGCCAATTCCATTGAGCATGTGCAAGGGAATGACCCCTTCACTTGCTCAAATAGCTCCTCAATAATAGATACTACTTACTGAGCATTTAGTAAGGGACAGATTCTGTGGCAAACACTCATACATTCTCTTTGAATGTTCAGTACAGCCCTAGAAAGATGGTAGTATCACACATATCTTATGGGAAACCAGATTCTGTAGCCCACAAGCCTCAGAAAGGCTGAGTCACTATCCAAAGCCCGTCTCTTAGCTACTGCATCCCCAGAGCAATGGTTCCAGAATGTGTCTTTTTATATCCAGCACTGGTGGCTGTGGACTGTGCTGGGGAACTTGCTACTCTTTAGGGGTGGCTGTGGGCAGAGGAAGGATGTTGGATAGTTAAAGAGAACTCAGGAAGTTGCTTTCATCTGACCTGGCATTGTGATTGGTTGAATTAGAGGCTTTTTCCATCTCAAACTTGATCTTCTGATTGCCGAGTGTATATTGTGTACGCCCAAAGCACCTACAAAACAGAGACATCTGGGCCCCAGGGATTCAGCTAATTGATGATTATGAGGGCTGGTAGTGGGGGTCCCCTTGATTGTGGCTCCCATGAATCTTGGCGTTAAGTAATAAAAAATGGCTTTGGATGGTTAAGGGAGGAATTCACCCAAAGTATCACATAAGCATCCTGTTTTTCTGCATTACCTACAAAGGACCTCTTTCCACGGATGGGGCCCAGCAGTTATCCTACGTGTACATCTGTGACAGCTCCCATCTGGATGTGCACCAACTCCCCGTCCCTCCAGAGGCCCATCCTGCAGTTTAATCATATTCTGTGTCTATTCTGAGCCACACTCATTTCCCGTGGTGGAAATTGGGTTTTGACAGTGTTCCTTGCAGATTTAATCTCTTCATTCTAATTACAGCCAGTCCCCTCAGCTCAATGAGGACTCTTCTTCTGTGCTAAACTGGATGGTTCTGCCAGAATATGAGGCCCCTCCAGAAAGCCCCACCCGGACCTCCTCTGGGCCTTCTGGCCAGGAAGGGAGGCACTCTTGCTTGTTGCTTCTTTCCGCCTACACTTTCTCTCCAAAAAGGAGGTGCCGGGAGCAGCCTTCTAGAAATGATTTGCTAACCAAGGAGACACCTAGTGGGGAAAGTGGTGAACAACAACAGAAAGAGGCTAAGGGAAATTGGCTTTGGTTGTCTTTTCCACTACGCTGGGTCTAGGAGCATTTATTAAAAAGTCAAAACAAAGCTGTTCTTACTTTCAAAATTCGCCCTAAAGTATTTTCAGTCATATCATAATTTACAGGGTACAGTTAGCATTTGGCAAAATAGAGGCAACAAGAAGTGGGAGAAAGATCCTCAGCCAGCATTCAGGAAAGCCAATACCCATCTCTGTCTGCCCCACTGAGCATGCTCTGCGGTTCTGGGAAAGTCACTGCCCTTTCTGAGCCTCAGTTTACTTAGCTGTCAAATGAGGATATCAAACTACAGAATTAAAAACTCCATAAATATATGATATATAATCATGCAATTGATTATTACATAGACTTTGTAGGGGCTGGTAGAAGCGAGAGGGGCCAAAGGTGGAAGGGAACCAGAATCTGTCCTTGGAAATCTTTCTGATATATGAGCCCTAGTCATGTGGGGCATAGGAGACTGAGCCAAAGGATACACTGTTCCCATTTTGTAAGCCCACATATGAATTATTCATGTCTTGCTCATAGGCAAAAAGGAGGGATAATCACTGGCATGACCTCTGAGAGGAGACACACTGGGGAAAAGGAATGCTATTTGTTAGAAAGGGTCAAACATAAACTTTTCGGATGGAAAAGGGACTTTACAGATCATCTAATCTACATTCTCCAACCTTCTAGAACAAAAAAACAATACTTGGATTGATTTAAGTGGTTGGCTCAAGAGCCACAGTTAGTTCCTTGAAAGTCAGAACAATCCATTGGAAGAAGTCACTCTAATGAGCAAGAAACTCAACATATTTATTGCCCACATCATCCAATGGTAGAGTGTCTGGTTTTCACATTAATGTTTACAAAAGTCCTATAAGGAAACATAAAAACATCACAAATGACAAAAAACACTGCTCTGTGTGTGCATGGACAACTAACCTCCAGATTCCCTTAAGAGGACAGGAGAGTTGGTATCTGGGTTCCCAGGGAGGGAGTGACTGTTTGTTCTCAGGGTGCTATTTATTTCTTGGATACAGAGTGTAATCAAGAATGGAGGTCCCTGTCATCCAGAATTTTGGACCAAGCCACAAACCATTTCATTTAAAATTTTCTAATATTTTTATCAAAAATGAGTACCTTACAGAACTTTTCTCCCAAAGTTTTTGCATAATGGAAGGAGGGCTTCACCAGCCTTATCAATTTTACTGTCTTCCTCCCCAACTTCTTTCCTCCATGTTGAACATGGCCATCAACCTCCTGTATGGCCCCTATGGCCAGGCTGCTCCAAGCCACTGCTCTGCTCAGAAATCTCTACCACCAGAATCTACCCGACTTGCTGCCCATCATTTTCAAGTCTCTGCTGAAATGTCATCTTTCCTGGTGGCCCTCCATGACCATCCTTTCTAGGACACAACCCCATTCTGGGTCTGTTTACTTGGCCCTGTTTTTTCTCTGCATTCCTGTCACCTCCTAACATTCTGTGTTATCTTCCTCCCATCTGTAGGAGGCCAATTGCTTTGTTCTCTCTTGTTCCTTGAGTTGTTTTGAGGCCCTAGGACAGTGACAGGCATAGTAGTTTTTTGAGAACATGCAAGATTTTCCTTGCTTCCTGGTTTCTGTTCCTGCCCTCACAGTATAACCTCTTCCCACACCTGCCCAAGTTCCCTCCTCTCAAGAGGAAGTGGATTATCTTCACAGATAAAAGAGGATAGTCTCTAACCTACTCTGTTTATGGATCCAGAAAAACTAAGGGACTCTATCAATGTCACAGAACAGGAACTTGAACTTACCTTATGTGACATCTCAGATACGACTCCTCACACCCTCCCCCAGTTTCTCCAGCCCACTACCTGCCTCCCTTCTTCACCTGGCCCTGGCCCTCTCTTCTTGAGTGTACCATGTCTTCCAGCAGCTTCTCTGGGCAGACTGAACTCACTCTGCCACGAGTTAGGCACAGGGCCTTGGATAAATTCCTTAACTTACCTTTGCGCCGCAGGCTTCTCTCTACTCGTGGGGTGAACTCAGTGCCTGGGAGCTCCTTTCCCTTTCTCTGGCTTATGAGGAGATGGGCACTGGCTCAAAAAAACACTGTTTCTCAAGACCTCCTGTCTCATTCCAGTCTTAGGCCTATACTCCTAGAAGACACAGAAGAGAAACTTAAGAAGTTAATATAAATTGTAAGAGGCAGATGGCAGGTGAAAGTCCTCTGTAATGTGGGACATCTCACCGTTAGGGCTAGCCCATGGGTTCTGGTTTGGGGGCCTTAAAATTGATGATTAAGATGAACAAAGCTATGCCAGGCCTGGTGGCGCACACCTGTAATCCCAGCAGCTCAGGAGCCTGAGGCAGGAGAATTGCAAGTTCAAAACCAGCTTCAGCAATTTAGTGAGGCGCTGAGCAACTGTCTCAACATAAAATATTTTAAAAAAGGGCTGAGAATGTGGTTCAGTGGTTAAGTGCCCCGGGTACTAAAAAAAAAAAAAAAAAAAAAAAGCAAATCTTCCAGGGGGCTGGGTAAAGTAACAGAGCATTTTCTATTCTCAAAGCCAACTTGGTGAAAAACAAACAAACAAAAACTACGGGTTTCAAAAGTTACTCCTAAAGTTAAAAGTTATTCCAGGGAATAAAGCAGGAGTTATGATTTCCTGACAGATCACCAAGGTGAGAGTACCCAGTTTGCTCATGTATATTTAAAAAATCTTTACATTGGGTTGATTCATGATTCTAAAACTAGTTTTAAAAAAATATTAGTTTAAAGGGCCACCCGACTGTATCTAGGCAGGACTTTTCAGGGCTTTTATCATCAGTACCTGCCTGTGGCTCTCCAAGAAGAATGCAGGTGAATGCACACACACACACACACACACACAAACATTTTTCCAATTTATTACCCTTTCTCTTCAAGGAGCAGCTCTTGCAATTAGTATTCCATATGTTCCATTTTTAGGGAAGACAGTTCTCTAGAGAGAAGTCCAGGGCGTGATGGCTAAAGCGGGAATGGGATAAAGGGATATCCAACCCATCTTCCCGGAGCTGCCACATTATTGACAGGAAGGACACAATGACTTCCTAACATTTGGTTCTCCAAGAAAATCTGTCTTTCCATATGCGATCCTGAAATTGGAGTTCCTGATGATAAATATACTTATATTGGATCATATGAGAACTACATTACCCTTGGAGCCTTCACTCATCAGAACTGCAAAGTCAAGCCATGGTCAGTCAACTAGTCAGCGGAACCAGGGCTAGGAGCCAACATCCTGCTGTGTTTCTTCTACAGAGCACAGAAATCAACAAAGGCCTATGGAAAAATCTCTCTATCAAGTGAAAATGAACTGGCATGAAATATAATCAATGAGGCACTTTCTGGAGATCAAGAATGAAAGTGTGCAAGGGAGTGTACGTGTGTGAGTCTGTGTGTGTGTGTGTGTGTGTGTGTGTGTCCCAGGAGGAGCAGTATTAGCATGGAGACTTCTACTCCCAGCCCAAGGCAGTTGAAT